GGTAAAAAAGCTTTTTTTTGTTTTGCTTTTTTTTTTTTTTTTTTTTTAATACATATTTTGATTACGACTTAAGCCTAACCTCATTATCACTTGTTTTAAGCACTTGGAAAAGCCAAGTGTGTTGAGCTAGAAAATGACATGCACAGGGTACTTTGACTACAAGGCACAGAGTGGTAAAATACATGTCTCTACTTTTATTTTTCAATCTTCAGCAATTAATCATCACTTCATGAAACCTGCCTTGCGTTTAAAAAATTCTGAGTATTCTGGGCCTGCATTTAAGGTTACCTTACGTAGGTCTTGGACTATTCTTGCTGCCACTTACCCGTTTTTCCTTTCCAACCTCCAAAAGTAATCTTCTGTAAACAAGTTTTCTTCTGTTGAGAGACTCTATCTGTCCTTTGATTACCAAATCAAATAATAAATTATTTTTTTTTATGATTTCGGATGTAGGAATTCCTATTTGATCTACCAAAAAGCTTCTAGAACTGGAAAAGCATTAGCTAAGTGATATCAAAAACTAACAGTTGCAGCTGTGGTATCTTCACGAGTTCTTAGGCTCATAGTGACAGGAGGGGTCCTAGATTGAAGAGAACTTCCAGTCACTATGGGATGTGGGATACCAGAAGCAATAAGAATTCCATTTTAGATTAATTTAAAATTTGGTTGGTTTTTTTGCTGTTGAACTGTCTTCACAGGTGGCTAAAGCAGCCTTTCAGCGAAACAATGATCCACTTGATGCAGCCATTTTTTACCTCGCAATGAAAAAGAAGGCTGTGATCTGGGGACTGTACAGGTAGGAGATATGCAAGCTGTTACACAGAGTTTCATACTGTCTGGTATAAGTTCAGGGAAAAAAATTGAAAGTGATGGTAGTCCAAAAGAAATACAAATATTACCGTTGTAAGCTGAGATTCAAGCTCTTAGTTAGTCACTACATCGAATTAGTAGTTTTTAAGCTTCTTGTATTTACTGAGGTAATTTAGTTGCTGTTCCTACAAATAGATGCTTCAAGTTTTAGTCTCAAATATATTGCAATTCCAGTGACTGCTTAATTCTGATTTACTTTTGAGGAAATGAAAACCATCATGCATCTAGGAAAATATATAATATTTTTATCAATTATATTCAATATACAGGTCCCAAAAAGACACTAAAATGACACAGTTTTTTGGAAACAACTTTACTGAGGACAGATGGCGTAAAGCAGCATTGAAGAATGCTTTTTCTTTGCTAGGCAAGCAGCGTTTTGAACATTCTGCAGCATTTTTCTTGTTGGCAGGACACTTAAAAGATGCAGTGGAGGTAATAAAATAATGAACTTTTTTATGTTTAAGACTGTTATGTTATCCCAAACTTACAAATATATTGAATGTGACTTGCTTTTTGCTTTATTATGACCCCTGAAGATTCTGCAGGTTTTGTGCTCTTTCCC